CAGTCGACGGTTTGGACCAATACCGACAAAAGCTGGTGGATCCCTTTATCGACGGGGCTACTTATCGATACCAATGACGTTTTGTATTCGTCGACGAGTCAACGGGGGTCGGTGCTTTAATACCGATAGATCAGCATTAACGTTTCCTCTCCACAGCGGTTCTATGGCCTTTTATTTTAACTGTATTCAACGATGGTAGCCAGGGCTGCTCCTTTTCCGATGACCTAATAAACGTTACAGTTTGCTGCTGCTTTATCCGCTAATTGACGACTCCTTTGGATCCGTTCATGAGTCTAGTCAGTAACACCGCTTTCGTCTACTGCACCGTTTTATTAAGAATCTCGGTCTGCTATTTCGTCTAATTACTTTACCGGAGCCGCCTAAATAATTCCTTTCAGCAATCGCTCTCCTGCATCAAATCGAGCCAACGAGAAGTGTTAAGTGTAAAATCAGCTTGTATCAAGGAAATCGATTCAATTTGTAATTCTTGGTAAGCGATTACTCACGTACGGGCGCGTTAGAATTTTGACCGGCTCTAAGATTCACGCAAAAACACATGAACATGCCGGCAGGTCTGGTGCGTCGCCATCTAGGCTATTTTTAACTTTCTTACGCAACGTTATTAGTTTCATACCTGAGGGATAACAATAAAGACGTGCCAACAGCTGTTGTTTGATGTGCGCAACAACGATGCAACAACCAGAAACAGCGAACCTGTACAAACGACAGCGGCTCGTTCTGGACGAAATCAACGGCCTGGCAATGCGTACATTGCATGCCATTTGTGTTTTGTTTATCAATAGCGTTGATGAGATGTGTCTTTCAGGACGCTGGATGTACTGAAGAAAACAGTGGGGAACGCATGAAATAAGCACTGAATGGCCAGTGCCCTGTCCTACGGTATTCACTGGGAAAAAGACTGCAGCATCGATTGGTTGAAAAAGATAAATGCCATACTGTAATGTGTAATTCTTGGTACGTGATTGGCTATTTCAAGCATTTACTTATTAATACCTTTAAGTCGTCTGGAAG